AGTGCAAGGAGAGTCTATGTACAAGTTACAGTTGTACTGTTTTTGTTCTGATTTTACGTAAGGGGCTTTTAGAGCATTAGGAAAAGCGCTATAACAATTCAATGTATTATTATTATTATTATTGTAGGAGCCATTTTCTCATTTTAGAGTACATGTATAGCATGAGATTGTCTTGTTGGGTTTTGCAGAATAAAGGCGTCTTCAGACCTTGGTGGTTGGGCGCGTGACAGCTTGGTTCCTTATTTTACCTTTAATATTTGAAGTATCAGATTATATAAGAATTAGTTTGTTTGAAAACATTCATTTATTTTTTCCACTGCCTTTTTGGAATAAACAAGCAGATTTTACTTTTCAAATCGCATCTGGACATTTCTTAAATGTTTTCTCTCAGCCCACGAGTGAATCACAGACAAAAGACTAAAACAAATGGATATCGTAGTCACTACAATTATTATGATAATGATATGTTAGTGAGACTCACCGTGTCGTTGGCCGGCGGGGAGAGCATGCCGAACAGACTGGAGACTCTGCGTCCGATCCCAGAGAGAACGCCCTGCCCTCGCTGCAGCGCGCGGTACTGAAGCTTTCCAGAAGAGTCTACACTCGCTCTCATGAGATGGTTCTTCTCTGAGGTCAAGATGAAGCTCCCGCCCTGAAAAAAGAGGACAGGAGAGTTAGAAAAGATAGCCGGAGTCAAACCCGGGTCCCCAAAACAGAGTCTGAGCCCCATTACATCCAACAACAAATCCCATTTACTGAAGATGTACTTGCTGTAGAGGCTCTACGGTTAGTAGAAGTTAAGTAGAAGAATAAAGTACTTAAATAAACGTACCAGGTAAAATTCCACCAGTGGGAAACAATGTATACCTAAATTGAGTCCCTACGAAGCTAAACGTGGCTTAAGGCTGTGACGCGTGTTCAATAAGAAAGTCCGTACTGATGTTGAAAGTGTTAATGATGTTTAATAAACAAAATGAAACACATGATGACTTAGGTAGAAGTCAGACCACACAGTCAACAGAATAAAGCACAATCTCACCCTCTGTCAACCGGGAAGTGCTCAACAATTACAAATGAAAGTGATGTAAACAAATCATATGGATACATTAATATACTGAGGCTGAATAGCATAATTGCTCCTACACTTACTTTGACAGCGAGCACAAAGTTGCAGAGGTCCCCCAGGTCCACGTCTGTCTCGGTGAAGTTCCCCTCCTGAGACAGACTGGGCCACAGGCGGGCCGTTCCCTCCACAGACAGGACCAGCACGGAGATGGACTGAACGCCGGCCGCCTCCAGAGGAGCGGCGGAGGAAACGGCCACCAGGTCGGCCGTGTAGTTGTACTCGCTGTCGGGAAGCTGCAGCTCCTTACACACCGACAGCTGCAGGACAACAGAGGGGGGAGGTGGAAGTTATTAATCTGTGAGGGTTTCCTCCTGGGTTGGGAGGGTTACTTGGAAGGTCACCTATTATGCAAAACCCTTTTCTCCATGTCTCTTCTACATCAACATGTGTCCCCTCTTCTTCATGTCTCTTCTACATCAACATGTGTCCCCTCTTCTTCATGTCTCTTCTACATCAACATGTGTCCCCTCTTCTTCATGTCTCTTCTACATCAACATGTGTCCACTCTTCTTCATGTCTCTTCTACATCAACATGTGTCCCCTCTTCTTCATGTCTCTTCTACATCAACATGTGTCCCCTCTTCTTCATGTCTCTTCTACATCAACATGTGTCCCCTCTTCTTCATGTCTCTTCTACATCAACATGTGTCCCTTCTTCTTCATGTCTCTTCTACATCAACATGTGTCCCCTCTTCTACATCAACATGTGTCCCCTCTTCTTCATGTCTCTTCTACATCAACATGTGTCCCCTCTTCTTCATGTCTCTTCTACATCAACATGTGTCCCCTCTTCTTCATGTCTCTTCTACATCAACATGTGTCCCCTCTTCTTCATGTCTCTTCTACATCAACATGTGTCCCCTCTTCTTCATGTCTCTTCTACATCAACATGTGTCCCCTCTTCTTCATGTCTCTTCTTCATCAACATGTGTCCCCTCTTCTTCATGTCTCTTCTACATCAACATGTGTCCCCTCTTCTTCATGTCTCTTCTACATCAACATGTGTCCCCTCTTCTTCATGTCTCTTCT